AATTATTTTTGTGTTGGATAGCGCATTTATCGAGGATGGCTATAGGCTATAAAACGTCACGCTAGCGTGTGAATCCACGCGGAAGTAGCTAGTGTTTTTTTTTTAAGGGGGGAAAATCATCGAATGACTGCTCCCGCCTGGGTGAGGCGGGAGGGAGTGTCAGACTATTACTGACTAAAAACCACCCCGTTCCTTCTCCTGCACGTCGAGCCGGAGCCCCGGTTACCCGTTAGGTTCTCCGCGACAAGTAGCTAGTGTAGATATACGCGAGATCTCATGCAGATAAGAGGTTAAGTATTTTGGAGACAATTTTATAAGAGTTAAAAGTTTTTTTGGATGCATAATCAATCATATTAGTGTGTCGAGTTCGATTCTGATATGGAACGTTTTTATTATTATGTAAAATTGCTGTTCTGTGCCTGATATGTATGTGAAATGTGGTTGTAAACGAGCCCGCATCGATGTGGCGATTGACATCGGAGTTTTTTAACCGGCTTCCCAAAACAGAGGAGGTTCTCAATTAATTATCTGTTGACCTACGTTTTAGATGTCAATATGCTGAAAACTAAATCGATCATGAGGCGTTAGACCCCCTGCAAACTTGCCGCTTGCAATGCATTGTGTAATGGCAGCTTATCAAAACTGTGACGAAACATTCAATATTTATTTATTTTATTTATGTACACACATTTAACACAGAGGACAATACATATGTAAAAACAGAGTACATATGCCCCACATATTCCAACTGGAATTTCTTCCTGTGATTTAGTTGATCTCATACTTTATTATTTTAGTAATAATGTCGAAATTCCATTGAATTCGTTAGTTTCGTAGCAAGACTTGTTAGTTTGTCCGAAATAAATCACGCTAATTTCGTCCATATTAAAATAACATACGATTTGAATTGAGATAATGGAGAAGATGAAAGAAAGGTGTGAATAAGAATTTTATACTAAGGTATTATGAGTTCTAGTTGCTATTCATACTTATTTTACCTTCGCATTTTGTTTATAAATATATATCATGTATTTTCCATCAACCGTGACTTTAAGAATAATATTATATGAAAACATTATAGAGAAGGAACTTTTTAAACACCATCACCTTTGTAAACTCAAGGAAAAGATATTAAAAACATATTAGAATTATGTACTAGTCTAAAATAGATAACTTCCTAATGATGATGTCAAAACCTAAGATACTTTTAATAAATAATGATCATCTGCAAACAGGGGATTCCCCAAGAATTGTAATAAGATCCTATAGAAAACTACACCATTTTATAGTTAGGGGATTCCCACAATAACATTATGCATGGATAGCACACAAAAACAAATGTACTTATAAGGTTATATGGGTATTTCCCTAATATAATGTGCATAAGATTAGCATGACTCAGGTCATTTGATTAGATTAGATTATTAGGAAAATAACACAAAATATTTAAATTATATATTGACTGAATAATATTTATAAGGAGCAGAGAATCATTTAAATGGAATTTAAAAATCACCTTTATTTAAAAACAAATTACAGTTCTCAGTTGGATTCAATGTTTCTTCAGACCAGTTAGATATGAAATGAGAAACTCGTGTATAACTGAAGTATTTATTTTATAGCTGTCTATAATATTAATTATTCAATGCCACAGACTAGACCAACCTACGGGCAGTCAGAGTAATATAGAAAAATAAAAATAAAGTAATAACTTGTTGTTTTTCATAAAGTATTTTTTTAATCTCCTTATTTCCCTGCAATCTTCCCAGTTGGGCATTTAACTGGTGGTTAAGAGGTTCATGTATTGTGACATGTACGGAGAACGCCCAGTGGTGTACCCGTCTTCAATTATTGCATTAAAATTAATTTGTTCAGCAGTTGATGATAATCGATAATGTTAGTGTTAGCCACCTACAGTTAAAAGTTTTGTTAGCCTGGCAAAATGTCTCATTTGACCACCATGTGTCGTTAATTTCCTAACACTAGCTCTATGCATTGGCCAAACGTTGGCTCCAACATCACTCCAATTTGGATATATTAGATAATAATAAGACTGCTGTAAGATCTATAAACGTTTTCAATCAACTATCACTTGATTTGGTTACTAAAAATAAAATTTAGACACAATTTGTATGGCGCTATTCAAAACATGTCAAAATTGTACTAACCAAATCAGATGGGTTGTTGAAACTGGCCGCTAGACTAGCATAAGTATATTCTATGCATGTTCATAAGTAAATAAACAAGTTGCCTCATAAAGTCCATAAAAATACAAGATCAAATCCAAGTATAACCAACCCATAACCAATGAATATAGAACAATGAACAATTGTTAAAACCTAAATAACTGCAAGACAGTATTTGTAATGCAAAATTAGTATTAGGTGCCATCATCATAAACAATATAGTAATAAATTGTCATGTTCAACCGACATTATTTTAGGGACTTTCTTACTGTCAAACACCGCGAGGACACTGGTGTCCGCACACCTCTTGTTCTTTAATTGTGTCTATAATAACGGTACTCAAAGGGTTAAGATGTAAACAACAAATAATATGTTATAATACTTTTATGCTTACCTTAATATAAGAGAAACCATAAGAAACAACTTTATATGCACATTGCACATCCATAAACTAAAAACAATGAACAGGAAAAGACTCTTTTAAAGTTTAACAATTAGTTGAACTGTGAAAATAATAATATGATCTATTTATACTCTAGATGACAAACATTGAATCATAGATAATATTGTAACAAGTAGCGTACAAGTTTGCACTCATCTGTTGATGACACACCAGGATATGAGATAAGAATATCAAATTGCATATTTTTTTAAATATTTTCTAGATAATATTCTAGAGATTATAGAAGCATACAATAAGTTTTAATTATGGATGAAACAGAAATAAAATGTATCGAAAGCCAATAAAAAAAGAAACCATATTTATGACCGTGACCAAGATGTTTGATCATAGAAAGCAAAAATAATAAATCAAACTTGGAAGAAGTTATATCTAAAAAGTTTCTATAGCAAATTTTATATGTACTGTGTACCACGGACATCACCAACTAACCAAATATTTACTATTTTAAACCTGTTATTTCAGTGGTATTTTGTTTTGAATAATCATAAATAAACAGTTATCGACATAATACGATAATAAAATCCTTGTCTGGGTTCGTGCAATAAATAACAGCCATTATCTTCTATGCCTACCTACATTCCTACATACTGATAATTTTTTCGAGATTATAAATAATATTAATTTGCGTATTTTATTATGAACAACTTATTTGTTTTACGAATTGCGGAATCTCATCAGAATAAATGTTTCTAATAAGAAAAACATTCGTAAATACAGATTAAACCGTGTGTTCAAAAATGCACATTTGTAAGGTTATAAAAGTTTGAAGGTACTACAACAAATGTTATGAAAATGGTTATTTTACTGATTAGAAAAACGCAATGAGACCATTACAATCTAATTATTAAAAAAATATTAATTGTTTGAACAGAAACAGCAGTTTTTGCTAGATATGCTAAAAATTTGACGCTCAAAATAATCTATCATGTGAAAACAAAATAATTACGCCGAACATAGACTAAGACTACCACGACATCGAAACGAAAAATACGGTTCTAAACCTTCAGTATACTTTGTGAAAAATTCTGAACACACAATTAGACTCCTAATAAACGTAAAATAAAGAAAATTTAAAATATAGGACACGTGGCGGTCTTTTTCTAGAGACATTTTGCCCCACCCCAGCATGTCAAAATAATTTCAATGTGATACTTACAACCTAAATGCAGTGATGATTGGATGAGTTCAAACAATATCTGTTTACAGGAGACCTTTGCGATGTCCCGCTAACGCTGCAAAGTAAAATAATTTGGTAAAAATATCACAAAATCTAAGCACGTGTGCGGCAAATGGCAAACCGCAAATTGTAAGTGATGTGAACAAAAAACATATTCGTTCATACCTATCGATAAGACTTCGATTATACTGAAGTTATTTTGATCATTGCATTTATATTTATTCTTTTGTGAACTATTATACTAAATAATTATATTATTTTACACGAAATTCAATTTAATAAAAGATTCTTTCAAGTCATGTAAACAACGTTTTCGTTTATATAACTTGGCCTATATGCTTACGAAAATAATCATCACTCCATTTAATACTTATTCATTTTAATAAATAATTAACTTATAACACAATACGTTTAAAGTTAACATTATTGAGATCTTAAATCGATTTACACTTTTTGTTTGAATCTAGTGTAAATACATCACTAGTTGGCCACTACATAAATCGGGAAAAAACTAAAAAAAAACATTGGCACTTGGCGCGTTCGAAAATCAACAAGAATCTGTGACATGATAATGCCTCTGAAAGTTATACATAAATATTGTTTATGCATCTCAACCAATTAAGGTTCTAACAAGGTTATAGGATGAAAATGTAAATAAGATATGAATACACAATGAATACTTTAATATCAACTATCTTAGAAATGTCATAAATCTATTTTCACTATGAATTGTAGGATCATCTAAATAATATTCATTAATAAATGACCAAACGAAGAGTTTGGTTTGGATAAGATTCTGTAACAAAAGGTAGGGCAATGTTATAAAGCATATTAAACAATCTTGTAGAATATTTGTATTTTTACAGTTGCCATTGCATAGCAAGCGCATCCAATAAAAGAGGGAATTCCCTTTAGTAGTTAGTACTTCTGTTTAGCCTTCAGCTGGCCTCTATACTCTACTCTGACATGTCTTTGGACATGCTTTGGACAAATCAAGCAGAATACCAAATGTCAATATGCTGCTGCATTTTGAATTATTTTATGATCAATATTGATTAAATTATCTATGTAGCTTACTAAGAAGTCTCAGTAACGCATTCTATGCATGTCCAACTGCATAGAAATCCCTATGACAAACTTCCAGCTGACTGAATCTCCACATCCCTAGCACTTCGCACGTCAATGTCAAAATGACGCTTGCTAACCGTCAAGTCCGTCAACTCTGCTGCATTCAGCGGGTCTGATTCTAACCAAATAAATGGGAACTTTTTACTATTAAATTATTAAGATTTACTGTACAAAATGACAGACAATGGAGATTATTACCGCAATCAAATAGCTATTGCTAGAACAGAAATCAAGAACTTAAGGTAAGACAGTGATAAATTGATAATCAATATTCAAATTCATAAGTTAATTTCGTAGCAATAATTCATATTTTTATTGTAGGCAGCAAATATCGTCGCTTAAACAGGAACATGCGAAGGAAGTAAGGTATATCAAGAGTCATCTGAACACACTGCGCTGTGCGAACTGCGGCGATAGTGGTAATTGTTCAATTTTCAGTTTATTTCATTTAGCACTGAAATTTTACGCATCCATGCATTTGTAGAACAAAATCAACACTGTAGAACATTGTTTAAGTGATTTATTGAGGATGAGTTACATATTTTGAGACTTTCAGACTGATTTAGACATTCTAGTTCACACCAGGTAGGTGTATGACACACCTTTAACAAACTGTAATTTATAAGTAGTTATCACTCTTTTTTTGTAAACTTACCAAAAGATGTCTGTTAGTTAAGTAAAGTGAATATTATAATATAATTAGTTATAATCTGTTTTATTCTATCCAACTTAAAATGCTTCACTATTTAAGAATCTTACGGAATTTTGATGTGTGTTTTTTTACTAGAATCTATCTTTACTGTTTCTTAGATTTCTTTTAACACTAGTAGTTGCACACTTAGAGCTGTCTTATGTCTAATGTCTCTCCAAAGAGACAGGTTTATGATGAAGAGACCTTCTAGAAGATTACTTATTAGCAGAGTACTGATAGTGCGAGAATGTTGTTCAACTTTATGGCTCTGATTCATTGACTGACCTTTTTTGTATTCTAGTTGATATATACACTTGTTAGGCTATGATGGGACTGGCGTACACTGTGCCGTATCGTCATCATCATCAACTGCCTATAAATGCCCACTGCTGAGCAAAGCCTCTTCTGAGCGTTGGCGATTACAAACATATAATTAGAAATTATAAACCCAGGCTTTGTCACGATGTTTTCCTTCACTGTTTTTCAGTGGTGTTTAGATAATCTGTGCTGTATAAAAGTCCCTAAAATTAAATGGGAAATAAAAAAAAATATTTATTTTATACTTTTTCTTTTTAAGCAACAACAGTTATACCAACCCACAATGGTGGAGACATGTCACAGCTTGATCCGGAAGACCTAGTTTACAAGCCTATCGGATTTATTGAGACCGCATTCCATAATAAACGGGGTGTTCCACGTCAACCCTCGGTGATGGCAAATGCTAGAGGGACAGTGGTGATCAATACTTCGGTGTTTAATAATCCAGATCATGCGCTGATTGGACTGGAAGAGTTTTCTCATATCTGGTAAGTTTTGAAGTGGATAGTAAATATCGACAAATAAATAAATTACATTTAACTGCAAGCTGCTGTAACTATTTGTAGATCTAACTTAACTAATTTCAAGCGTAGATAGATAAATATGTGACAAAGAGATAATAAGTAATGACTGCACGGTTGGCGCGGTGGTTAGGCAATTGACTGCTGCGCAACATGTCGCGGGTTCGATTCCCGCACGGAACAACTCTTTGTGTCAACGCTTTTGTTAAAAAAAAAGTCTCTAAACGTCGGAAATAAGGTCTATAACGGAGATAGTGGAGAGCGATTACCGCTGACCGTTTGGGGGTTGATGAGTTAAAAGAGTAAAATTAAAAAATGAAGTAGAAAACCTTATGTGAACTTTGGAAATGACAATATTTTCTGTAAAAGATCAATTTGTTCGTCAGTAGCATACACCAAAAACCATTTAAATCCATTTTATACATTTTCAGGATACTATTCCATTTCCACATGACGGAGAGTACGAATTCACCTGCTAAAGTAGCGCCACCTAGGCTCCGTGGTGAGAGGCGAGGGGTTTTCTCAACCCGGTCGCCCCACCGTCCTTGTCCTATTGGCCTTTCTCTTGTGAAGATTGACAGAATTGAAGGTACGGAAGACTCAACTGTTATAACTTCTTTAGTATTGAGTGTCTCTAAAAAACTCACCAGTGACCTCACTCACACGACGAAACACAACGCAAGCGTTGTTTAACGTCGGTCTTGAGGCCGTGGTATCACTCCGGTCGAGCCGACCCATTCGTGCCGAAGCATGGGTCTCCCACACTTAAATATACTCTAATCTCACCCATAAAATTTTATAAGACTCAAATAGTTCGCTCATTAAAGAGGAAATATGGGGGTTCCCTGGAATGTTTCCCCGGGAGTATTGAAAATTGGCTGTTTTGTAGATCTTGATGTGCTCTTTCTGATTACCATTTTGCACCTTTGTATGTGCGCCACTCGCGGCCAAAATGGCGGCCAATAGCAATTTTTTTGCAATATCTCTTTTCCTGTGTGTTTCAGGAGAAAAACGTTGAGTACAAAATTAAACTACTCACAATTTCCTATAATAAAATTTTTGTATTATAAATAACTAGCGACCCGCCCCGGCTTCGCACGGGTGCAATATGTATATACATACAAACCTCCCTTAAGAATCACTCTATCTATTAAAAAAAACCGCATCAAAATCCGTTGCGTAGTTTTAAAGATCTAAGCATACATACGGACATACAGCGAAAGCGACTTTGTTTTATACTATGTATTGATATATTTTTATGAGCATGGGGAACTAAAACTACTCTCAACGCTTATCTAACACATAAATGTCTTGTGATAGTAATAATACAAAAAACACAACAACTTTGTCTTGGGAAGTATCCACTTGACAATATTCATCGTTTTGGATGGGTGACAATACCTACTCAGGACTACTGTAAGCATGTCTGACGGCTATCTTGCACTATTACAGGAAACAAAATACATTTCTTTGGTGTGGACATGGTGAATGGAACCCCAGTGTTGGATGTAAAACCATATATACCTCAGTATGACTACCCTGTGCCTGCCTTCGGAGACAACATGTCCGCTCTGGTACGGCCTCCGACAGAAGGAATTAGTGATGTAACTGAAACGCTTGCCAATCTACCGATTGATGATGAAAATTTCGATGCAAGAAGGTTGGTTATAATTATTTTTTTATATCATAGATTCCCATTTTTTTTCCATAGACCACAATAACGATGGTAGTTATTCAGATACAATTTCGTATTCCTCATAATACATCTGTTTCTTTAAGTTTAAAAATTAATTAATCAGGCTTGGACAAACATGCAAGTATGCCATCACAAGGCATTATTTCATTATAATTATTTTGAAAGTAAAAAAAAATTCGTCCCCCATTACTCGACTATTTTGCAATCACTCGACTAACGACACATCTAGTTAGCAATGTTACTGAACATCATAATTTTATCATACTTTGTTGGTTTTCAGTTCCGATAAAATGCTAAAATTATTTAATGCTTCATCAGTATGTAAGTTTTCCAATCCCCTAAATTATGTAGATAGAATTTTTATTATTACTTTCGAATTTTTACAATACCTACTACGAAAATCCATAGATGTCGTTAGTTAGCGTGTTAAGGTATATTAAACTCCTTCGTGTACACCACATAAAAAAGAGGTATTATTATTTCAGTCTCAGTCCGCGGATAACTAATCCGATTGGTATAGACACGGGTTCTTCTCGTTCATTTGGAGAGCCATCATCAGGACAACCGAGTAATGGTACTACACCAATATCACCAGCATCAGAGTCACCAACAAGTGTAGACGTAATTGATGGCAATTACCGATCTCCTGCCACTCGAAGGTCTGACACTGAGAGAGGGGCACCTGATGGTCAAGAAAGGTATACCCCACCACAATCAGCTCATGTCACAAATATAACTCATGATGGGATAAGGGTAGCGCCATGGATTGCAAATCCCCCAGCACAGACTTACGACGTTAGATTCACTGATGATGCCCTCACACGGTTGAATGAATTGATCGGGGACAGAGCGCAGGGCTTCAAAGCTAATTTGGAATGCTTGCTCTCTGAAGATCCAAGGTCTCAATACGTAAGGAATAGGTACCCAGGTCATGAGTACAGTTGCGTACTTGAAGATATTTCGATTAGCTGTATCTTCGACGCCAGTTCCTCTGTGTGTACGATCATCGCAATACGTAACGCAGAAGATTTACAAACTTGAATTATTGCATAATATTTTTACAAGCACACAAAATAAGTCATCGGCACCATGTTTTTGTTAAAGATTTTATTATTACTATTGTGAAAAGGTAAAAATATTAAATCATATTGAATTTAGCAAAATAATGTCTTTTATTTCTTTACAATAACATTATATTGTACAATGGTGTATGTTTCATACAAATAATAAATGCATTTTTAAATTCTACATAGACATGACGATTTAATCAAATAAATTATAATCGCCTAACAAATAGGTCTACCTCTAACAAAAATAGTACAAAGTGTATATAAATGTACCTATATAAAAATACAATTAATGTCCAATTTTATTAACGAAATATAAACGAGAAATACTTAAAATTTATAAAAAAATAATGCCAAACTTAATACATAACAGTACGGTACATAATCTTCAGACAAGGCACAATTAAAGCATATTTTATAAGGCACGCGCAAATGAAACTTAATCTTTTTTATAGAATAGAATTTGTTTGCCGGAGCCAAACCCGCCAATGGTGTCTAAAATATTAAGCTCAACGTATTTCATTTTAGTGCCATTTAATGGAATGCGTTTTACACTTTCATCGTGATCCCATTTTATTTTGCTGGACATTGGGCTCCAAGCTTTTCCATCAGTGGAATGTCTGTATTGCACTTGTAGTATGGTCCCGTTACCTGCATCTTCGCGAGGTATGTATTCCAATCTATCGACCTCATAAATGCCATCGAAGTCGAAATTGAGTGTTATTACTTTGCCTTTCTGTGGATTCGCTTGATCTGGTCTCGCCCAATGAGTATGCCACAAGGACTTTGTGTCCCCATCAGTCAACTTGCAAACTTCTTGGGACGGCTGGCATGGAATGTTACAAGTAACTTTAATCACTTTAATAGCGTGCTTTTGCGGATCCTCTTTCGTCGACACAACTATAGTGTAACTCCATTTTGATACGCCTTTAGAGTTAGCTGAACGAATTTTAAACTTATGCTCTGAATCAAATGGGAAACCTTCAAACGTGAAGTTGGAACCTGATATATTGGTAAACACTACTCCATCTCTTTCTATTTCAATGTAAGCCCCCGTCATTGCCTCCCAATGTAGGGTTATAGATGTAGGTGTCACATCTTCGTCCCGCGTGGTAAAATTAGAGGGATAATGTAATGCGTTATTTAGAGAAGTGTTGCTTCCATGAATAATGTCTGTGTTCTGATAGTCATTGATTTTTATATGTATATCGCTTGTTGTAACATCGATTTTATGTATTTTAATTAATAAGAACTTTTGTTTTAGTGCGTCGCCACCAAAACCACGAAGGTATGGGTTTACGATAAAATCATCTTTGTAAAAGAATGCGTCGTCTGATATGTTAAATTCTTCTTCAGTTTTAACTTTCATTAAAGTTACGGGTTCATTATTAATAGCAACTTTAACGTAGTCCACAGTTTTTGAAATCATTATCCTTAGTAAAGTTGATCTTTCTTTTACCATGTTATTGTATTTTCCAATGGTCTTGCGAATATGAATGTGCAAATTACCATACCCATTTGTAGACGGACCTGAGACTGACAAACGAGTGAAAGCGTGAAAACCATCTAAATAATCGGACGTACGACCATCATCTTCATAAACTTTAAGATTTGTTTCACCATTTGGATAAATATTGTAAATTCTCAAATCTCTCTTGATTTCATAAGGATTGTTATTTGGATTGACCATAGGTATGATAGCACCATCTTTTATAAAAACTGGTATCCGCCATAGCGGAGATTTCAAATGGTTCCATATTTTACCTCCTTGGTATTTTGCTCCCGTAAACAAGTCTATCCACACTTGGTTGAGGTCGGGAAGGAAGACGTCATTACGAACCCAGTCTCCATTATTATTTTTTTCTTTATACACTGGTGCTACTAATATGGATGGTCCCCACATGAACTGGTACTGAACATCTTTCGTGTACGCACAGGATTCTTTCGGAAACTCTAGAAACATTGCCCTGATCATCGGTAGACCATTAATAGATTCATGAGCAATGGTATAATTGTATGGCAAGAGCATAGCTTTTAATTTCAAATACGCTCTGTTAATTCGCTTGGCTTCATCATCAAAACTAAAAGGAGTTTTTTGTACTTTCCCCCAACCGTCCATGTTTAGTTGGAGTGGCGTAAAAGTCTTCCATTGATAGTCTCGCACATTAACTGCTTTGCCTTGTCCTCCGTAAATACCGTCCATATCGGAACCGACTATTGGTATTCCAGAGAGACCAGATCCAATATACGTAGGTATATGAAAGCGTATGTATTCCCACTGACCACCAGTCTGGTCTCCACTCCATACGCCTGCGTGCCTTTGGGTACCTGCCCAACCATCCACCGTTATGATCATCGTTCTAGCTTTGTGGTTAGCGCCCTTGAGAAACAGTTCATTAGCATGTTCCAAAGCGTTAAGGCCGAAAGAATAGCCAGATCCGATCCACGCCACGTCACATTTGAGTGCCACTACGCCAGCTACACATACTTCCTTATTTAAATCGCGCTCTCCTTTCTTTGGGTTGTTTGGATCTGCTGGTTCTAAATTAGATTCAGTCCAAAGAGCAACTTCCACACCTTTTCCTCTGGCATAGTCTGCAAACTGTTTTAAGTTTTCTATGTCACCATCCAAGGAGTCCGTCTGCCCGTAGCCACAACCGTAGCCGTCGTTGGGCACAAACCAGCCTAATGGCATGTCATATCTTTGATACCTACCAATCATAGCTCTGGCTGAAAATTGGTAATTGTTTTTTTCTCCATTTAAAGATTCTAATATACCATCTTTGCCATTCATATCTTTTGGCTGATAACATTTGTAATAAAAACCATCTTCAAATAAAATCGCGCCAGGCGTATCCTGCAACACCTTGACCCAGTAGTCACGGTTAAATGCGTTTAGGTGAGCTTCGTAAAATGCATATTCAGGCATAAAGATCGGTTTCCCGGTCAGTTCGTAGTAGTCGTTCAAGATATCTTTAGGATTGGAATTTATAAAGAAAAATGTGTCAAAATCATTTCCTTTATGTGAGGTTACGACTACACTAGGATTTGTAGTTCCAAAATCGTAGACGCCTGGTTGCCAAGTATTACGTAGGATTCCATAACCGTAAGTGGACCAGAAGAAAGGACATGGCGACGTGACTCCTCCAGCGACCCAATTATTTGAGTTAACGATGTCTATTTGTTGTCCTTTGTGTGTAAACTGTCCGTTCTGCATTCCGCCTCCAAAGAAGAACTCGTCCTCGTGTTGGTGCAGTGTCTGTCTCGCTTCGTTAGCAGCATAGGAGAGTGGTTCCGATTCCTTCAGTATCACATTGTTGGTCCTCATATCCCTTACGGTCATAGTTCCTTCTTTTTTATCGAAACGTATCGTAATTTTATTGGTATAAACATTGTAGCATTCATGTGTAGTTTCAAGAACGGAATATTCAAACGATTTAGGATCATAATCAGTGATAGCTTTAACGTTTATTTTTGCTTTGTCTGTCGGGTGGTTGGGTACAGGATAGTCCAAGAAATTGCCGCTTGGCGACATGTAGTATTTAAAAACATGACTGTTTAGGATATATAGGCGAGCGAGTTCCCCTGTGTCGTAACTTATAAGAAAATATTTTTCGTTTTTCACCATAGACGATATACCACCTAGGGTTTCCATGTTTACGTACGTACGTAGTGATTGATTTTAAACAAACTGGACCTGAAACAAGAAAAAATAATTCAGTAGGTACATACATACATACCCACACCTTTGAAATCCCCTACTTCCTCAGGAAGGACTCTTTATGCCTTTTTCATTCTATCATTTGAAAGATAATTTACTTTTATTTTTGAAAAGCTGTCTGTGCACTGTGCACGTATCACTGACACTCACACTTCACCAGTTATATTATGAAACTTCTGTTATACGGAGCGAACGTCTTCCTGATACCAGGCTTAACAAAATAAATCGGATTCACCGTCGTTACGTTGCTACAGGTAAGGATAAAGAAAAATAATTTTCAAGTAGGTAGGTACAGACGGTACAAGTCGTCACGAGAGGATATTATAAAGTAATAAAACAGGGACTAATTTATAAACTGCCTTTACCTAACTAACAGGTAGGTTTTCCTGCTTTTGTTTTCTTTACGAATTTAATTTCGCGCCATAAATTGCTTCGTTAGTTACGTTTTGTTTGTACCTGCAGGATATAAATGGGACTAAGGACAAATATTCAAGTTTTGTTGCTATTCATATCTTCACCTTTAGTACGACATTATTGCTGAAATTATTTTAACATTTGATACTTTATTCGTAAAATTTTAGGAAATGGTCAGCAGATAATTATATCATAATGTAAATGCTAATGTTGGTGAGATAATCGCCTCTTCTATGTACTACATTTCAAATAAGTTTTTAGTTGTCAAAAATAAATTTTAAAACTTTATGTACTTACATGAGCATAACAATACCGGCACAATATTAATGAGTGGCTACGTACTCGGATTGCAATTATATAGATAACAAGTACTAGGCCGACCTAATAGGACACAAAAGAATATTATTTACATTTAGAATAAATAGGTAATTCTGTGACAATAACAATTTAGCCGAGACATTCATTAGATATCATGTATACTGATAATAACCGCTGGAAATAGGTGGATACATTACATTACGTAAATGTAAATACAGAAAACACAACAAAACAATTTAACCTAGAAAGGACTATTGGTTTACTGATGTGTACAAATAGTTTGACCAATTGACAAAGAGTACACCAAAGAGTAAATGGCAGAATATGGCAATATGTCATTATTTAATTTGTCCAAAAATCAACCAAAACTTTAAAAAAATATTAATCGACTAAACTTAGCAACTTACTACTTATTGAGAAACTACGACGCTGACGTTTCGTTTTCGCTTGTTTGAGTTTGACATTTAGAAATTTTTGTTTGGTTGCTTGACGGCCGGACTCAGCGAAAAATTTGATTACTCATTTTGTACGAAAACCTGTGAAACTTTTCATCAATTCTATTTATATTAAAAGAAATCTATTCAAGGTACGTATAAATTGATTTAAAAACAGACAACAGTTTGGTGTACTTAGCGAAATTTATGAAAACGCTTTGTCATGGTATCCAAGTCCTAACCTATCCCGGTGAAATTAAATTGTTTTCTTTGCAGATGTTCCTTACACGTTCTGAGTACGACCGTGGTGTGAACACATTCAGCCCCGAGGGAAGGCTGTTCCAAGTGGAATATGCCATTGAAGCCATCAAACTTGGTTCGACGGCGATCGGTATCTGTACGTCTGAAGGTGTAGTTCTGGCTGTTGAAAAGAGGATTACATCGCCTCTGATGGAGCCTACTACTATTGAGAAGATTGTGGAGGTGGACAGACATATTGCTTGCGCTGTGTCTGGATTGATGGCTGATTCTAGGTAATACAATTTATGTCATAAAGTTATACTAATTTTACCTGTCTGTATTCCTTATAGAGACGCTTACTTATACTAAATTAGTTGAGAAATCTAATAAGATTATTGTAATATAGTTTTATATTGATTTGCAACGATAAATGTCTATTTAAATATAACTTACAACTATTACATTACCAAGATATTATATGAACTAGTTATTTTTCAGAACTCTAGTGGAGCGCGCCCGTGTGGAGTGTCAGAACCACTGGTTTGTGTACAATGAGCGCATGAGTGTGGAGTCTTGTGCTCAGGCTGTGTCCAACTTGGCTATACAATTTGGAGATAGTGATGATGACAGTGGAACTGCTATGTCCAGGCCTTTTGGCGTTGCTGTTATGTTTGCAGGTAATTGTAATCTAAGACTTCATATATATAAAGAGTTTTGTATGCATACCTATTTAATTTTACTGGATACGACTAAAAGTTATTTGGATATGTCAAATAGATTAACTGTTCAATCCCCAAATGGTCACCGGTGATCGCTCTCCGCTAACTCCATTATAGACTTTTATTTATTTACAATGAGACCACTTTTGTTTAAAGAAGTCTTTGGTATGTTATATCAATGTATTACTAATTTCAATAATAGTTAACATCACCAAGTGATTTGGAACCCACTTTTCACTCCTCTGCTGTTGTGCCCATCAAGGGATTCGTTTGCTTGTTGACTAACCTATTCCATTAACCCTTGGTATTCCCGAACATAGGTCTACACGAGACACAATTCATTTTTAGTGTCTCATTTATTTGCACTTAAGAGGTTACAATAAATTGAAAATATTCAACAACATCTATAGCCTAAAAGCGGCCACTCCTGACCAAATGCCTTCTTCTGAATCTTCTCATACAGAGAAGGTTTGAGCATTAACCGTCTGCGGTTGACGTGTAGTCCCACAGACACCGCGAAATACAAAATCACGTGTTATACCGTCATTTTTCAAATACGAGCATCACTGCTGCGAGTACCTACCTTACTGTATAGTGCTCGCTATACTAAAGTATAGCTATTATTCTACAAAAATATTTGCTGTTGAAATGGTGTCTGGTATAATATACACCTCAGTTGAATTGTAACAATTTAACCACGTCAGTTACAGAGGGTTAACTCGTCGAGTACCGTATTTATAGACACAATTAAAGAACAATAGGTTGCGGTCACCGGTGACCGCTTGGTGTTTGACAGTTTAATCACCATGCTTGCTCAATGCGATTTCAAACTTATATTTAGAAGTTATAAGTCCAGGTTTCAGCACAATCTTTTTACTATTTGTAGTGACAAACGGTGTCTAAATAATCTTAGAAAGTACATATAACTCGAAAAAAGTGACATTGGTACTTGCCGTTGGTACTTTTCGACTCTCGAACCCGCATCCTCATGCATGAGAAGCGAGCGTCTCAACCTCTGGGCCATCACAATGTCAAATATCGACTTTTTTTTGTAATTTATTGCTTCCAGGTATTGATGAGAAAGGTCCTCAGTTGTTCCACATGGATCCCAGTGGTACATTTGTGCAGTATGATGCTAAGGCCATCGGCTCTGGTAGTGAAGGCGCTCAGCAGAGCTTGAAGGTTAGTTTTATGAAGATATTTAATAGGCTCACCCCCTAATATATAGAACTCAAAACATAAATAGTGAAAAGTGTAAATGAAATGATATTAATTTCTCCAAAGTTGGCGCGGTTGTTGTTCCGGGTCTGGGTGTTATGTGTATGTGATATTATATGCACCCACGACACAGGAGAAGATCCTAGTGTGGGGCAACATTTTATAAAAAAACTAAAAACTAAAGTAACACTTTACAGAAATAAATACAATTTCATTTCATTTCATGTAACATTGTACAGTGGCATTAACTGCCGTAATGTGCACCTCTACCTACCCCTTCAGGGATAAAAGGCGTGTTGTTATAATTTATGTATTTAAAAGTCTATTTTTAAAAATGTAAAAATATAGGAAGTCAGTTAAAAATCCTAGAAGTTAGAAATACTTCTTCAATCTTATTAACTTGTTTGGCTATTCATTTGTTTATTTATTTTGATTTATTCTCTACACAAAATCAATCCCAATAGCCATATCAATTTTTTCTACTTAACTAAACATTGAACACAACTTTTAACTGAAGTAAAACCATAACACTAATATTATAATGTGAAAGTTTCGTTAATTGGATGTTTGTCTGTCAATCACACTGCAACTACAGAACTGATGATGAAATTTGGTATACAGGCAGGGTATGGGCTGACTTAGGTGATAGGATGCTTTTATCCCGATTAAATGCTCCCATGAGATAAAACAGGAATCATATTCTATGTGGACCAAGGCGCGGGCAACAGCTAACATTAATTAATCTTCTTTCTCACCATTTTACAGGAAGTCTACCACAAATCCATGACTCTCAAGGAAGCTATCAAGTCAGCGCTCACGATCCTCAAGCAAGTGATGGAGGAGAAGCTGTCAGAGAACAATGTGGAGGTGGTGACCATGACTCCTGGATCCATGTTCCACATGTTCACCCGGGAACAGCTGGCCGAGGTTATCAAAGACATACCTTAAGTATTTGTAGTAATTAGCCATTTATTTGTGTACCTATATTATTTAGTTGTAGCTTTTTGAAAGCTGTTTATGGCTGAATTTCATAACTGTCCTGAAACCAAAGTTTTTCTGTCAATAATCCAGAGATTTTGGTCTAGATCAGTAATTAATTTCAACCATTAGTAAGTGATGTAGTTACACATGTAAATGAGTATCCGTCGCTTGAATGTAAATTGAAAAGTAATATTTGAAGTAAATTGTATTTATTTTGAAAGCAGTTGTAGTTTTTTGTATCGTATTTTTCGTAATAATGTACTTTGAACCTCTTATCTAATTGAATAAGGTCTACTTTGATGGAAATTGGAGTTTAGTGACATTCCGTTATTTTTTGGCATTTAAGGTGTAATGGAAAATAAAAAAAAATGTTTCTAAGTGGATCTTATTAGTAAAATTGTAGTTACAGATAATAAAATATAGTATCTGTTTAATTGATCGGTATTTTGTCACAGGTTTTACAGTTTGAGATAAAAATCTTAACCCAATATGTCTTATATTATGTAATTTGGTATTAAAAAATGTATTTATTTATAAGTACTTACTTATGTAAATGTATATAATTTATTTCAAATATAACTGCGGTGGCCGGAGATGTTTTGAATCTTACAGTAAGTAAATCAATAAAAACATAATCGATTTTTTATGTGTATTTCATTTAGTCCTGTGCCTATTTATGTTTATTTAGTTACTGTGTATTCTTTAGTTGAAGTAATGTAGATTGCAGATATTGGAACAAAAGAGTAAAAAAAAGTGAAGTTTGTGTGGCGACTACAACAACTGGTAAGAGAATATTTTGATAATTGCGATTTTAATTTCTTCATCTTGTGAGAATTTTAGAAATGCCTAAGTTCTCACGTACCTAATTTTCTTATTTTTCTTCAAAGTACAGGGGTACAGAATGAACTCGTTGCGATTGTTTTAGTCACAATACTTAGTCAGTTGTGGAGAACACTACGTAAATTATGAAACTTGAAATCCCAAAATTATCGGATTTTATTATTTACCTGGCCCAGGCATCTAATTGGGCCGACTAACCACTACCTATTTGATAACATTAAACTAATACACAGATGATAGCGGCGATACCAGAACTGCAATGGACGGACTCTTCAAGCTCTCGCAATACCATACAAGACCTGTCCAAACTACGGCTCGGACGACAAACTGTTTGATTTTCATGTAAATTGTTTGATTATATTAATTTTGAGATTTATTATTTATGTTTTATTGTAGTTGCTGTAGACAATCGTAGTCTCATATTAGATGTTTGTGCCAGTGGCGCAGACAAGGCTAGCCGTATGCAGTGACCCCAGCATGAAGCGGGAGTGGGAACGGGGTGGATTTTAGTTAGTAATTTTTTTGGAGGGGTTTAATCATTCAATGCCTCACCCACCTTGGGTGAGGCGAGACGGCTTGTCACGACTCTTGACTAAAAACCACCCCGTTGCACCTCCTGCTTTAAACCGGAGCCTCGGTTACCCGTTGACTCTGGTTCCGGGAATTAGTAAGAGCAGCCTGACACTCCTTTCCGCCTCGCCCAGTGTGGGAGTCATTTGATGACTATACATCCTCATAAAAATACTCCACCTAGCTGGGTAGTCGCGATAGTTTCTACTTGTCTGGATGTAAAAGCTGAGGATCCAGCTGTGGCATGTTACTGTAGGCCTATGTCCAGCAGTGGACAGAAACAGACCTTAGTACGAGTTTCTTTTACGTTTAAAGTACCTAATCGAAATGAGACCGCGTTCGGCGCACTGATTGCCCGCTTCCAATGAACCGTCTAATCAAAGTGTCGAGCACGAATAACTATCGCATTCGTAACGTAATAGTTTCGAGCGCGTTCGGCACTCTAAGGCCTTGGTACGAATTCATTTTACGTCAAAAGTAACCAAAATGATTACGCATTCTACCCTCTGATTGGCCGGAGCCAATGGAAAAACAAATTCTGGTGGGTTTATTGGAGCCGGCCAATCAGAGCGCTGAAGGCGTCTCGACGATACTATGGGATAAGGCGGTAAACGAGCAGACGGGTCTCCTGATGGTAAGCAATCGGCGTCACCCATAGATGCCCGAAATACCAGAGGTGTTACAAGTGCTTTACCGGCCTTTTGGGGATTAGGAATTTGAGGATTGGGGAGATTATTAAAACATTCATTCAGGTCATTCTTTATTTATTCAACAAAAATAAATATTTAAAAATTAAATGCTTTGTTACGATTTGGTAACATAGGAATATCTTAAATCTAAGTAGTACATTATTATTATTATGTATTTTGAGCTTAAGTATATTGATATTGTAGTACGGAAGAACTACTATAGATTACTACTAATGTTTGAGAACTGGGAACTTTATATTATTATCATTACACCAAAAATATGTCTGTTATCACTATTTGATTATTATATGGGGAACTACTATTATAAGATTTATTTCGACCAAGAGTAAAATGTTAAATCAGCGTCCACGCCATATAACAACTTCGCAACAATTTTCAGCCATTTTTGCATGCTTATCCAAAATCTTAAACATCACCAAAATCAGTCCAGCCGCTTTTGAGTCAGCAACGGCATTACTAACACGACTTTGTCATTCATACATAGATTTACAATCCAAAAATTCGTTCCTTTCCCACCACTATCCAAGAAAATGTAACATAATCTGGATATACCTTCTAAAGATAATAATATTAAATATTAACTAAAAATCGCGGGTTACTCACGTGAATATACTGAGAAAAGCTCTACTAGTTTCGAACCAGTGTCAGTAGGCTGCGCACACCGGCGCGACCGCGCACTCTGCTCATGAAGAACCCCGCTGTGGTTCGAAACTAGTAGAGCTTTTGTATAACGTAACCCGCGATTTTTAGTATAAAAATCCTTACTAATATTAATAATCGGAAAGTGAGTTTGTTTGTTTGTTCCGCTTTCACGCCATAACTACTTCCGATTGCTTTGAATTTTTGCAGATGTATAGTTAGAAGTCCGGATTAAATAATAGGGTACTTTTTATCCCGGAAAAATTTGATATTCCCGAGGGAAAACAAAAGTATTGGTATAGGTGGCGCTGTGTGTATTGGTATATGTCACATTGGCTTTTTATCCTTTTGTGACGAGCGAAGCCGCGCGTAAAAGCTAGTATTATATAAGTCATACATATCATGTAGGTATTAGAAAAAATATCTACTAGTATATTTAAAAACCTTGACAAGGTTATTTACAGAATTTTCATACCGGTTACTTAGGTACTTCATTATAATTTGGTATATTTTATACCCTACCCATGGACATCTGGTGCCATATTTTTAATTCTATGTAACGTACTTGTTTATTACTTACACAGACTAGAACACAGTTCTTTCTCCAATTATGATACACATTAGAAAATATAATGTATCGCATAGATTTGCGTTCTGGCTACCAGAGGTCATTACCATTTTTTATTTGCGAATTTAGACATGTAACTATAATTTGAACCTACTATTATGGATAGGGAATTAGGGACAATGGTTTAGTATTCTTGTCCATCGAGTAGATTAATCATGTCAAATTTTTTGTTCAAATTCCAAATTCAAATGTTAAATAATTGTATTTTTTACAATCTATCGACCGGACTAAATGGAATTCTCACTTTTTCACACCCAATCAAAGTTTACTGATCAAAAAGTTTCTCCAAATAAGGTACCAACTCTAAAGGATCAGTGTTAGGACCAAACCGTTCAACAGGGACGCCATTTTTATCAACAATGAACTTGGAAAAGTTCCATTTAACAAAGTCACCCAAAGTACCTCCTTGCATCCTCTTCAAGAAGTTCCAAAGAGGATGAGCATCTTCGCCATTGACAGCGACCTTTTCAAACAAATCGAACTTCACTTGTTTGGCTTTAGTGAATTGTAAAATTTCTTCAGGGCTCCCTGGTTCCTGGTAAGCGAACTGATTGCAGGGGAAGGCCAGTATACGTAGACCTTTGTTGCTGTATTTTTCGTACAGTTCGTTTAATTGTTTGTAGTGAACGTTTGTGTAGCCGCAATTGGAAGCTACGTTGACAATTATAAGTACTTGTCCTTTATACCGGTCGAGTTTCACTTCGTTACCATTGATGTCTTTTACAGTGAATTCGTGAACTGATTTCGCTTTCATGTAGTCTACTTGTGTTGGTTGTTTGGATGGTTCAGTTGGTTGCTGGACTGGTTTAGTTGGTTTGTTAGCTGGTTCACTTGGTTGCTTGGCTGATTCATTTGGTTGTTTGGCTGGTTCAGTTGGTTTCTTGGCTGATTCAGTAGGCTTTTCGGTTGGTTCGGTTGAAGCAGTTTTTGATTTAGTTTGTTGAGCGTTTGATTCAACTGGTTCAGGTAGTGGTCCGCTTTTGCTGTAAAAATATTAGTTTTTTGCCTTGAAGGATATGACATATTAAGACTATTATCAAAGATTGTGAAAGAAAATAAATTAAATTCATACCTAATTATTCTCAATTTAGATAGCACTATGGTAGACCACGGTTATATTTAACCGAAGAAAATGTGTCTTAAAAGTGAAGTAAGAAAACACAATACTTACTTCCTCTCCTCATTGAACTTAATAAAAGTATCGACAGCATCAAAAATATCATCAGCCAGTATATCAGGTAGTTCCATAGCAGCGAAGTGTCCTCCATCTTCTACTATAGAGCTGTGCAAGTAGTTCCTGTACTTCAGTCTAAGAATGCTGTCCGGTTGGAAGCAGAGGTTGTATTTGAACTTGATACCCCATGTTGGCACGTCTGTTGGGACTCTAGGGGAAGATAATGGTGAATTTTTGTTATGTAATTTTTTACTTAACCCGTTGAAAATCATCCCCTAAATTTGTTCATACAAAAGTAGTCTCTAAACATTGGAAATAAGGTCTATAATATAGTTAGTGGAGAGCGGTCACCGGTGACCACTGGGGATATACGGATTTTTTTATTATAGACTGCCACAGGGTACACACATGAGTACAGAGTAGTCGCTAGTCCGACTGTTAAAATATAAATTATTTTTCGATTTTCGGAATCTATTGATCGATCGTTGGAAATGATGGACAGCAATAAGCTTACCCTTACATGGGGCTATTGTGAAAATTATGCGTTATATCATGTGCTGTGCATTTTTCATAAGAAACTTAGGTATAACGTATGTGATAATGTAAAAAAATATTGGCATTAGCAATGCCAAAGTATCACATTTTTTTAAAACTTGCCACAGGAGAACAGCCATCTAAATATTCTAGAAAATTCCACCAAAACTCACCGATCCAATGTCCACAGCTGCTTATGTTCAGTATAATGCCTCATGCTGCTGGTTATACTATTGGTCGTCCAGTAGATCATCACATTGTCCAGGAGATGTGTTAATGAGAACTTCTGCAATAAGGCTCCATCGATGGCCTGTTTATTTTCTATGTTAGTCCATGCTGAGAATTTTTCTAAGATATATGCTGCTAAACCGGCTGGAGAGTCTGAAAGCGCAATACCTGAAAAACATAAATACTTGGTTGTATTTCCGAATATTGTAACATGAAGTCTTCTTGTGAAAACAAAAGTATTGGTCTTGATAGAATTATATCGATATTACTGAATTAGCTGAAGATATTACTACACCCAGTATATACAAACGTGGGAAGTACAGCACGGCACGCACGGGCCAGGTAGACCGGAGTGATACCATAAGGCCGGGCAGAAAACTGGCAGGTGGCAGGAAAACTCAGGTTCGATTTCTGGGTCGGGCTAAGTACTACTGGTTTTTTTAAAATGTCAGTGGTAGCACGGAGTCTGGAATTGTGCACGGTACCTATATGGCAATAGGCTCACACACTATTACATGGGACTCATAACATAAATAGTAAAAAGTGTGTGTTACATTGTACAGTGGCATTAAGCGCAGTAATGTGCACCTCTGCCTAACTCTTCAAGGATAAAAGGCGGGATGTTATGTTATTAGATAATATCTTACCGACAGTATCAGGTTTAGTGGCTTGCATATGAAAGTGTCCGGTCTCCTGTACGATGGTGCTCAGGTACTGTGACAGTGGGTACATGCGGTCTGCCAGGCTAGGTTCTACTATGAAGTTTGGCCATATTGTTCCTGGAAATATTAACGTGCAATTTATTAGACTGGTTCGTTGGTCAAGTGGCCAAAAATGCGATTGGCAAGCCAGGTCTTCGATGCCGTGGTAAGACAAAGTATTATCGGACTTTAGCGGATTCTTTATTCATAATTTTACAAGCGGAAAATGTCTTTCAGTTAAAATATAGGACAATTGAAAAAACAGATATACATAGTGCCAAAGGGCCTGAGAGACCCTAATCAGAAAAAAGCAAGTTGGTTTTTAACCGACTTCCCAAAAAGGAGGAGGTTATGAATTCGGCTGTTTTTTTTTGTGTGTGCCACTGCCATAAGCCCATAACAAAATATAGGTAACTTAGGTTAATGGTCATGATTACAATCTGTCATAAAATTGTACACAGCTTAGGTAATACAAGGTGACACCGACTTCTCACCTATCAGTGGGTGGGTAACCTATAAGTAACACTAATAATAGTTATTTTTGCTTTTTGTTTTGACCTTTTGCTTGTTTTTAGGTTTTGGTTCTCGAAGTCGGTTTTTTTAAACGCAATTTTTGTTTTTATGCTTTTTAGTTAGTATAGATCCAGTATACTACGTATATCCCACATAGGTGTTAAGCTCTCATCATTACAAATTATTCAAGCTCAATCATCGGGTGAATGGTTAATAGTCTCTTAAGAATAATTAGTATTTATTTTCAAAGTCAAAGTCAAATCATTTATTTCAATTAAACCATAGTTTGGCACTTTTGAAACGTCAACAAATACAAAATAAATAATAGTCTGTCAGTCAGTCCGTCAGTGAAGCTAGGTGAAGCGAACGAGCAAGAAACTCCATTCGTTACTCTTTTAAAAAAGTATGTTCTACAATGTCTCTTTTATTTAAGTTTATATTATTTGTAAAAACAGTTCAAGATTATTGAAAAAAGGATAGAATAAAACAAAACTTACCCAACAGAGTATAAAATATTGACATAGGACTCCACGATACACTCGGTGTGTTGGTATGGAATCCTAGCACAGAATCAGGGAACAGAGTAGCCATAACGGATCCAATCTTTGCACCATAGTTGCCACCTTGCACATAGTACTTTGTATAACCAATGCGCTTCATTAGGTTGTAGAAGACTACTGCTACTTCTTTTGCCCCCATGCCTTGTTGTACTGGGGCCTGTAGATTATAATTATTGATAACGAAAATGTACATACATACATAACATCATGCCTTTTATCCCCGAAGGGGTAGGCAGAGGTGTACATTACGGCACTTAGTGCCACTGTACAATGTAACAACCAGTTTTGTACTTTTATGTTATGAGTTATGTAATAGGGGTTTTTAAAACCCCAATAAAACTTTGTCCGACCCGGGAATCAAACCCGAGACCCCTTGCCCGGCAGTCGCATTTGCGACACTCAATAACGAAAAAGTTTACTTACAAAATCTGTTTCTACGACTTGTATGTAGTTAGATCTTTCTTGTCTCATACTTTCTTTTTTATGTATAGTTCAACAGAACCAGTTCAGCGGGTCGGATCATATTTTGAGATTTTTCTCGGTGTCACTCAAATCCGTAACCCATATGCATGTAGTAAAACGCGGTTATTTTTTGTTAGAGTAGTCATGATGATACAAGCATATAAACATTTGAAATAATATGCCATTAATTTTTGTACCAGAATGAAGAATCAAAAATCATAATGAAATCATCAATTCACTTACTTGCGAATACCCAAATCCTGGAATGCTAGGAGCAATGACTTCGAAGACGAATTTATGGTTGGGTCGAGGAGTGACAAGCTTTGGTATCAGTTCATAGAACTCTCGGATAGAGCCGGGCCAGCCATGGATCAAGAGTAAAGGTACGACCTGGAAGAAAATAGATATTTTGGGTAGTTAGATATCTATAGTCAATTGACTACTTTGTCCGTGTTAATGGTGTTCAAGCATCCCCCTTAACTCGTCGAGTACCGGTTTTGTAGACACAATTATAGAACAATAGGTTGCGGTCACCGGTGACCGCTTGGTGTTTGACAGTTTAAGCGTAATTGACGACCCCCTAGGTTGGTCGTCTCGGTTTTGATATTCCGGTCAGCAAAAGTATTATTAGAATTATTTTGGTATTTCTAAAATTCTTGGTAACAGTACGGATTCTGGAATAGTATCTGATGTATGGCACCAATGATGTATAACTACACTTCACATCCATCTCATTGTAGGTATTTAATATGTATACAATTAACCTGTTTGGAAAATTTAAGCAAATATATGTTATTTCAACAAAAAGTAAAATACTTACAGTAATATCATCTCCAACACCCAAATCAGGTTTCACATGCATATAATGTACATCCAATCCTTGCATGCCAGTGATGAAATGGTTGTACTTATTCAAGAACCGTTCTCGTTCCTCAAAATTGTATTCTTTTTGCCAGAAATCCAGTACTTTGGGCAGAAACAGACTGTTGAAGCCATATGAGAAGCCGGCACTGTCTAAAGGAGGTGCGAATTGAGCTCGGTGCAGTAATCTCTCTTTCAGATCATTTACTTTCTGCAAAATTAATTATTTTGTTTACGGAATAGGGTGCAAATGAGCAGACGGATGGTTCATTAATGATAATAATATATACACAATACTAGATGAGTAACAAATACACATTTTTGCCAACCTGCTTTTGGGCAAGCATTGTGTCATAAAACAAAATTCTAAGTTTTATTTGCACTAGTTTTGTCTTATTGGCACAGCACTGTTGATTCATTTATGTGGATTCTTATTTCTACAAGATAACAAGAACAAACCAGCAGACTAATAATTCAATAAAAAATGATCAGCACTCACAACAGAAAAAAATATAATAAAAATGATTACTTACTACATCGGAGAATTCAATCGTAAATGGTCTTATAGAAGTATCAATTTCATTCATTGGGTATGAACCCCACCATTGCTCTAAGTCTATTTCTGGCATCTCATAATCAGTTTTAACGAAATACAATTTATAACTGGCTGCTAATAAAATAACAATAGCGATAAGAAAGTATTTTATTGGTATCTGTGAACAGAAATTAAATGTTAATAAATTGTTAGTCATGTTTTTAAAACTTTTATGTATTGAAGTAAAAAAAATAGAAAAGTATTTCTAATGCAGAAATTGTTATATTTAGGTGAGAAACAAAAAAATATCTTACGTATAGCGATCTCTTTTCATATTTCTTTTCATACTGCAGTTTTTGCGATTTAGTTAACGGCTTCCTGGAACTCATGGTTGTAACCGTTCGATCTCTGAAAATAAAGTAACAAAACCTGATTGATTTTTCTAAATGATACCGGTATTTTGGCAATGATAATCCAAAACAAACAAGTCATAATTTAGTTTTGAAACTTACCACGTCAGTTGTAATTATAACTGTAAACTATTGAGCGGCTTTTGTTTTGATTTATTTCATTTCTTTCATAATTCTCTCTTGAAGTGTGTTATTTTGTTATTGGTTGGAAATATTAAAACTTCGGACTTCGGAGTTTGGCGATAAATAAAATCAATAACTAATGACAGATGACAGTCGGTGTTAACACTTTAATAAAATATCAGCGCCAGCTTGGGACAATGTTAAAAAAATATAAAAATTCACTAAAATCATATTGTTTTTATCGATTAAAAGTATAGTTAGATAAGTTTAAATCTTTTTTATTTTAAGTCATGGTAAAGTAAGATTTTATTAATTGAATAAAAAAGGAAAACGCAAATAGTAGACACTAACAACCGACAGATGGCGGTACAAGTTCATCCTTTTAATGTTTTCACTAGGTTTTTCAGGAAGGAGACAAGGGAATGGAGAGGTAGTGAAACCTATTTATATGGTTTATTTAAAACTGATGCAAACGTATGAAACCCTTAATTCGGATAAAAATATAAATCTAATCAGTACGTCAGTTAGGTAATGAAAAAATATTAGACACGTAGGTACTTATTATTTTATTTTGTCGTAGGTATATGAAAACAACGCTAGATAAAACGAATCAAAGTTTAGTAGTGGGGGGCAGCTACGTCATTATAGAGTATAAATTGTACTCAAAAGTGACGTCATGCGATATTTCAAATCAATTTAAGAAACTATTCGTTTCCGTAAGAAAATAAAAAATACGTGTTTAATGTTTTTAAATAATCTACCAGATGGATATTAAAATAAAAATTAGTCACCTACCATACCTATTGGTATACAGGAGGTCTTTTGCCTTAACTACCTCTTTGGTATTAAGTCACATTTTCAATAAAAAAAAAGTATTCAGCCGTAAAACTGCCTCTTGTTAGATACTCTAAGTACAACGTCATTATGATAGAACCTTAATAACAATAACACCAATCAAAAAGTAGGCTCAGATAACAATCTTCTTTAAATTATCCTCTACTCTGTCAATTCCTTCAGGGCATGGCAGTCGAGACAACATTATATAATTTATATCGCAAACAATTTTCTTCTACAATATGTACGTACAATTGCATAACACAAGTTATCGAGTGCGTTGCATCAAGTCACTTGATCATTCTGCCGCGTAAAAGTGATCTTGTTTCAAGTTCCGTGGACAGTGCAACCGTGGAACCCTTTCACGCGTTTTATTTTAGTTCTGCTCAAGTTACGTCCAAGTGTGAAGTAGGTAATTAGCTTTTATACGGTGTCTATTTCCACCAGTGTATAAAAATTGTGAGGGGTCACAATTGTTTTTTATAGTAAACGTTCTTCTAATGGGAAGAATAAATACACCGGGAAAATATTTGTAAATAAAACAGCTGTTATTGGTTCTTCCAATTTTTCAATTTTCCAATTTCCATTCTTCCAAGATAAATTTTAGAAGAGTAAGTAGTACATGAAAAACTTCCAAAATTGCCAATTATCAACATGCCCAGAAAACTTTCCAGGCCACACCCATAATGTTGCCCATATTATCGGACCATGATGACTTTAGTGTCTTTAATTTTTTAAAGTTCTGCCAAAAAAGGTATTTATTAATTTTTGGTTACCCTCGTGATTGATGAATTGGACTGAAAGTACCTATAGCTATAGATATTGATTAGGTACGTAGATATGTTTAGAATTGTGGGGTCCTTTTGGTCAAAGTACCAGCTTACCGACATTTTAAGTTTGTTTTGGAGGCCCTTTTATGGCATTAGGCAAGTATGATAAGGATTGAATACAGGTTTAATGTTTCTGTGGATAAACACAAAATGTCAATTTTTAATCCTTTTTAATTATTTTTTATTTATAGACTAATATATTTTTTATTTATAAACCTATCCTACAAGCTACATCACAATATTAATAATCATATTCCTCGCTATGGATGGATGGATTTATTTGAAATGTATTTTCGCAAACTGTCACCATTTAAATTATCTAAGAATGTAGATATTGGAACTGGAAGTAGGTATTAGTAATACACGACCAGTCACAGGAAGAGAAAGGGCGATTCTGAAAGCGCGGTCGACCTAGATATCTAAACTAATTCATCTGCATACTAACGTAAGAGCTTCGACAAAACTTAAAAGTAATACCTAAGTGTTGTCTCATTGAGCCAAAACGTTCTCAAAACCCTTTTACTTGAAGCAGAAAAGTAACAGGCAATCACGCAAAAAAAATTAACAGAAGCCATTAAAACAAAAGAATAAACGCGGCTTCGAAATTTAAATGCACAAGCATATCGCGATAAATAATCAAAATGGCGCCCGGTATACATTATTATGGGAAATAATGAAGAAATTATTGACGTGTGAAACGAATATGCGAAATAAATCCGAATGAATGGGAGCTGTCACAATAGGGGCCGCAAGGCTCGCTTTTAATTGAACTTGCGGGGCCAATATGGAAGGTAGATTTTTTATTTTTTCATTTAACCGCTGCTAGATACAATATAGTAGGGTTGCCTCATTGAATCTCAGGATCCAATTGTCAATGAAAATAAACTTTAATAAGAACTGGGTTGCCCAAGTATTTCGTTTATTATTGTTCGTGTCTACTTAACAAACCTAAGCAGCTAAACGGTTTCATTAAAATGTCAAACACATGAGGAATAACACTTCACTAAAGAATTCACGTCTAGTTCTATGCTAAGCTCAAACTAATTCAATGAATTGTATCATGACTTTGTAATTAATGTTTACATGATAAGAGGCAATTATTTATTCCAATGAATAACAAATCACTTTGCAAATTACTTTCGTTCGAGAAGAATTGGTTTGATAGTAAATTATTGGTTGACAGGTTTTTTAAAAGTAGATAAATGTTTAAAAATGGTAATTACATCTTTATTTTAGATGCATAATTTGCTGTGTACAATGACGATATACGACATATTATGATATAAAAATAATATGTAACAAAGTATGTGACACCCCTACTGAACACCCACCACGCTTCCATAGCGCTATCACGGCTCTCAGCCCTGTCACCATTTTCCCATTTTTCCCGCCCACCCATACAAATGCAAAACGTCATAAATCCTCTCATCATACATTGAAAATTCAACCTTATTGCTGCACCTAACTAATCAAAATAGAGGAAAAATCGTTTAAATATCGATCAGAAGTTACGTTGTTTATGGTTCCAGTCACAGCTTAGCGATGCGGTTTTTCGAATGAAAACCTCTTTTCGGGGAATTGACAAGTGAATTTAATATTGGTTTTAACCGATAAGTGTGATTGTATTAAATTAAAATCATTGAAAGTTACCGGTTCAATGATGATAGTTGTGGTCGCTGTGTAAATGAGATAATGATTCAAGTAATTATTTCGTTCATTTTCAGTTCAGTGAATGTAATAAGTATAAACAGAGAGGAGACAGGGACAGGTCATTTTAATTATTTGTTTCTTTTTTGATATCATGACTTTTGATACTTAATAAAGTGACTCTTATTTTATAGTTTCTTAAGCAATCATGGACCACTACCAACAGTCGCTGTGACGTATTATTTATTTATTGACGGACACTCTTTATTATAAGGCCAATGCTTCAGAACAAATAATATATCGCAGTTAGGTCATCGTAAATTAAGAGCAATGACTTATCTATCCGAGGCTGACCGCAGTTTCAGTATAACATAAAATTGTGCTGGTGTCCTTAATATAAGTACCTATATTATGCAAGTGCATATAAAACTCACAGAATAACTAATAGTTATTGGTAGACGCCATAAATCCATTAGTTAGTCTATATCTGGTTGTACACAAATGTCCCGTGGGAGTTCTGGGAGCGAGGAAGTGTGAGGGGTACAGAGTGACATCAAGTTATCGGATGGTCGCACTACTCATATACTGAATTGGGACCAGAAAATGATAATCCATAAAATAAGGCAGAATAAGTCTGACTTTTACATGGAGTGCCTATAGTATTAAACTGTCAAACACCAAGCGGTCACCGGTGACCGCAACCTATTGTTCTATAATTGTGTCTGCAAAACCGGTACTCGACGAGTTAAATAAGTAAATTACTAATTAACTCATCGAGCACCGTCATTATAGACACAATTAAAGAACAATAGGTTGCGGTCACCGGTGTCCTCGCGGTGTTTGACAGTTTAAGTAAGGTATGGGGCTGCTGGGGTCTTGGATTTATAGTGGAATTTCTAATTGTTATCTGGATAGAAACTAAAATTCCATGAGATAATAGATATGGAATCTTAGTATTTAAAATTTCGTATCCTCATCAACAGCCTATAAATGCCCACTGCTGAGCAAAGCCTCTTCTCACACGGAGAAGGTTAGAGCATTAATCACCACGCTTGCTCAATGCGGGTTGGCGATTTCAAACTTATAATTAGAAATTATAAGCCGAGGTTTCCTCACGATGTTTTTCCTTCACCGTTTGTCAGTGGTGTCTAAATAATCTTAGAAAGTACATATAACTCGGAAAAAGTCACATTGGTACTTGGCGTTGGTAGGTTTCGCATGAAAATTTCGTATCCACAAACTATTAAGTATTTTCTTTCATTTCCGAGGCAAGGACGAGTTTTCAGACGCTCAAAATTGCATATCCACAAACGAACTTAACCAAAAGCTAGTTTCTTGTTCTTTCTCTTAATCTTCCAACTCCTAATTATAAAGGATCCACTTACACTATTACTCATAACAATACCCTAAAACGTGACGCCTTTAAACGAACCTTAAACGTCTACAAAGTTATCGTTACGTAACAGCGTACCCTTGATTATGACCCACAAACTTAATATTACACCTCACAAACTAAACGATGAACTAATAATTCCTTAACGTTAAGGTTGTGTTTGTAGCGAGAGAAGGTGAAGTGGGTGGTATATGTAAGGAATGAAGATGTATAGGGGTGGTTTTAAGTGGGGTGCGATAAAGTCACAGGTTGGGCTTAGCGGTTACTAGAGTCGCGCTTGACGGTACGCTTCAGAGGGATGGGGATTTAGACGTTATTGGCTCAGAGATGTAGGGTTGTCAGGAGAATAAGAGTAAGATTTCATTGGAAAGCATAACTTTCTTAAGAATTAAGAAGTTTAATTAGGTTTAGGTTTACGAT